TTTCAATTATTCTTTTGAAAATTTTTTTATTACAAATGTGATTTATAGTGTAAAGGAGATGAGTAGGTAGGCAAATTGTATCTTTCATTTTGTGACTAATTATATATAGATTTAAGTAAATATAATAAGCTTTCCAGGGGGGCTTGGATGGCTCAGTTGGTTGAGCATCTGACTCTTGACTTTGGCTCAGGTCAAGATGTCATGGTCGTGGGATTGAGCCCCACACTGGGCTCTGTGCTCAGTGCAGAGTGTGCTCCGGATTCTCTCCCCCTCTGCCCCTTCCCCTGCTCGCACACATGCATGCTCGCTCTCTAAATAAATAAATAAATAAATAAAATTTTAAGAGAAAAAAAAAAGCTTTCCATATTTTACAAATGAAAATCAGATCTGCTTTCTAAATGTCATTAGGTCAGTAGAAGGCAAATTAAATTTATTACAAAGGCTTAGTGTTCCAGAAAAATATAATCATGATGTGTAAATAAGAGATAAGTATATTAGTTGTTTCCTTAAGTTCTAAAACATACCCTAATGTTTTAATCGCTGTCTGGTTTGTAGAGTAAAATAGTATGAAAACAAACTACTCTAAAAGATATGAAGTATAATTCATTCTTTTAAAGTTATGACTTATTAATTTCATATTCTTTCTTTGTGCTCCCATATGCTTTGCTCCTTTTTCTTTTCATCGTATTCACATCTTATTATTTTTAGTGGTTAAGAGCTTTAACTGCCTGAGTTCAATCCCAACTCTACTACTAACTGGTTGTGTAGCCTTGAACAAGTTTCTTTCTTTCTTTCTTTCTTTCTTTCTTTCTTTCTTTCTTTCTTTCTTTCTTTCTTTCTTTCTTTCCTTTTCTTTCTTTCTTTTTTTTAAAGATTTTATTTATTCATTTGAGAGAGAGAGAGAGAGAGAATGAGCGGGGCGGGGGAGAGAGAAAGGGAGAAACAGACTCCCCGCTGAGCAGGGAGCCTGATGTGCGACTCGATCCCAGGACCCTGGGATCATGTCCTGAACCAAAGGCAGACGCTTAACTGACTGAGCCACCCAGGTGCCCCCTTGAACAAGTTTCTTAATCTATGGTTTATTTAAGAGTTTTTCTCCTGTATAAAAGAGGTGTCATAATAATACTTTCCTCATTTATAAAACTGTGAGAATTAATTAAATTAAATAATGCATGTAATACACTTATCACAGTGCTTCAGAATAAGAATTTATAGGTTGGATGATGGCTGACTATTAGATTGTAAACTCCCTGAAGGATATATCAGACAACTTAGTAATCTCAGCACAGAGCATGGTGCTTAGTATATTTAATAGGCCATGCATGTTGAATTTATAGCTGTAAAGTAAAAAATTGTTTAACTTCTTTCCAACAGTTTTAACACAGGCTAAGCGGTATGCTTTTTTCATGCCAACTCTGCCAAGTTTGGTCTCTTTCTGTCGAGCGTTTCCTCCACTGTATGAGGATATTATGTCTTTGCTGATCCAGATCGGGCAAGTCTGTGCCTCTGATGTTGCTACTCAGACAAGAGACATCGATCCAATTATCACACGTAAGTAGGAACTGATTTTCAAAGTTGCTTTAATATCTCAAACATAAAGGCCAAACTCCTTTCCAGATTCCTTGCCTTAATTTATTTTTTTTCCTTATGTTTTTAGGTCTTCAACAAATAAAAGAGAAACCCAGTGGATGGTCTGGTATCTGTAAAGATCCATCTTATAAAAATGGATCTGGGGACACTGGAAGTACGGATCCTGATGTACAGCTCTGTCATTGTATTGAAAGCACAATAATTGAAATAATAAACATGAGTGTTAGTGGAATTTAAAAAAAAAAAGTAAAATAAAAAAGTGAAGCTGTTTGCTGCATATACTCGATACAAATCTGCATCTTAAAACAACTCTAAACTGAATGGGAACAGTAACATCTTGGAATCATTAAATGATTCAGTTCAACATGAATAGAATTTAGAACTCTCTTTAAGAATTATGCTTGCCTGTATTTGATTGATAGTTCTTTGAATCTACTTTGCTGGTATGTTTATACTATAGCAGCGGAGCTTTTTTTTTTTCCTATTGGGAGCACATTTAAGAAACTCATTACTAGAAAGTGAATTTGGCCTTGTATTTAGTTTTTGCAATGAAGAAATAGTGCCATGCTTTTAATTTCTTGTAAAGATGAGTCTGTCGATAGCCCTAGTGTTTAATGTCAGCTAGTAACTGTGACAATGAAGCAATGATGAGAGGGAGAAAAAGGGAAGGGAGAATTCAGGAAAAATTAAGAGTTTAAATACCCAATAGAAATCACTAAAACTTGCAATGCAAGTAATAGTAATGCAAGATGGAATTCTGCTTCTCAAGAAATAGTATTGAGAAGGCAAGTAGCTTTTTGTAAATGATTTCCATGGAATTACAGATGAGAATTTTAAGACTTTACGTATTTGCTTCAATTTTTACTAATATGGAGACATGTTGAAAGACATACTTGAATAATTTGGAATTTTAAGATATTAATTTAGAAGTGTTTACAGAAACATCTTTGTGCAGAGAAGAACCTGAAAGGAGATCTCATTTAGTTGTTTTTTTTTTTTAAGATTTATTTTTATAATGTTTTACTGACTTACCTAATGGTCAGTGGAGGGAAATACATTGGTATCTAATTAAAGTTTAGAGCAGTGAAACACACCAGATTAAAGAGCCCTTGCTGTGCCATCAGGATTATAGTTCACGTCATAATTTTAGAAGATCTCTGAGTAAGAAAATATATACAGTGTTTGGACCTCAGGAAAAATTAAAAAGCATAACGTACCATGTTGCTGAAGGATTTCGCAGTCCTCTGTTAGTAACTTCCACTGATTAGGTAGATGCATTCAGGTAAACCATAGTCCTTATTTTTTCCCCTCAATTAAGTATCTAACATAGAAGTTACTTCTCCTTGCTTTCTGAGATATGCCTGAATGACACACTCTTCCCAACCCCTTCAGTCCCCTGCCTTGAAACAGACCACTTGTAAAAGAAATTAGGTAGGCTAATAAGGAAGTGTGGTTTTTAAGAAAAGGAATTTTTCAATCTTCTCACTAGCATATAGGCACATGTCATTTTCCTCCTTTGTAAAATGGGATTACTACTGGCCCTACCTCATAAGGGTACTGAATAAGAACTAATTTGTAGCTGTTTCAAATCATGAAGTACACAGTATCCTAGATGATAGAATATTTAGAACTTTTATTAGATGCTTAATGTTCAATTAAGTAATTTTGATGCAAAAAGTAAAAACATCCACTTAAAAAATACCGTAAGAATTTTCGTATTTTTAAACAAGGCAGTTTTATAAGTCTTTTAACATTAAATACAACTGCTCCTGTTTTGTTTTGTTTATTTTTTAAACTGAGGCTTTGGAATATTTTGAGTGAGTAGGTAACCTCTAGGAAATCAGAAAAGGTTGAAATATGTTTTCTAATTAAATGCAGTGCACATTCCTGGATCACTTTTCAAAGACTGGTCAAAACCTGCTGTGTTAAAATAACATATGCTGTTTTTCATGAGATTGTTGATGATGTAAATAAAATGTGTAAATATATTAGTAAATGTTAATATTCATGTATTTTAAGTTAAGATTACAAGATTTGTCACAATGTGATTTTTTTTTTATTCAAGTGAAAACAGATGTGTGCAGCTATTTTGAATATTGGTTTATAAACATTCATATTCTTTATTCAAATGAACTTGTAGTTTTTTGTGTTTCATTTCACTGCTACTAACTTGAAAGGGACATTTCAAAGGACTGGTATCCAGGACTGGCTCCAGATTCTGTGTCCCTTTCTGTTATGCCACATACACCAAATGGCAATACAAGGTTAGAGTCAGTTGAGAGCCTTAGGAATTTAGGAGAGGAAAATCAGAATAGCTACCCTGGAGCAGTTACTTAAAAGATTAGATACTAAAAAAATTTATAAATGCAGAGTAACAATTTGAAGGTATTTTTGAGGACTTATTTTTATAAATTATCCTTCACTGTCTAAAAAATAAGTTACATTTTTAGTACTTTCTCTTCATCTTTGCTTATGCACACATATTGTCACATAATGGAATTTATAGTATCAAGTTGGAGGAGTCTTTTTTCACATTTAATTTTATATGAAATTGTTTTTTGCAAGTTGCTTTATTTTTATAATTATGGTTTATAGTAATTTATTTTTATAATTTTATTGGCTTCATGATGATTGAATTGATATAACCATCTCCCGTTACTATACTGGGAAGTTTTTTTTTTTTTTCCCCCAATATTAGGCACTGTTATAAATTGAGGTATTACTACTTTTTCTTTCTTTTAGATTACTTATTTAGGATAAATTTCTGAGTCTGAGATGAGTAAAGGGCAGAATTTATTTTCATGACTATGTTTTGTCATTTGGGGACAATGTAGTAAAATGAAAGTGAGGCAAACAAATCAGCTCCCCTCCTGCTGCACCCTCTTGCCGCAAACCTCTCTCCCAAACCAATTTCTCGAATCTGAGAAAATGTCTCAGGACCCTAGTATTTTAGCCAAGTTTAGGTTATACGGAACTCTTTAAAAATGACAATTCAGAGAGATCACGATTAACCTAGTTTTTTTTTTTTTTTTTTTTTTTTAAGATTTTATTTATTTATTTGAGAGAGAGAATGAGAGAGAGAGAGAGCATGAGAGGGGGAGGGTCAGAGGGAGAAGCAGACTCCCTGCTGAGCAGGGAGCCCGATGTGGGACTCGATCCCGGGACTCCAGGATCATGACCTGAGCCGAAGGCAGTCGCTTAACCAACTGAGCCACCCAGGCGCCCCGATTAACCTAGTTTTGAGGAAATTTAAGTGTACTTCTTGGCAAAGAAGAATAAACCGGTCTCGGGAGGGACAGAGGTGGCTGAGCCTTTATAGAAGTAGAAGTCATGTGGTGCTGGAAGACCTCGCGAGCGTTTGTCTGGTTTAATTTGGTATCTGGGAAAGTCTTAAATATTATGAGGTCCTGTAGACGGTTGTCATCGAACTTTTTCTCCTGGTTTGGCTCAGTCTGGCAATTCCCGCCTCAATCTTTTCGATAGCCCGGCTACTTGTAAGTTCGAATTTAAATTGAGTGGTACTGATGAATGCTCGGAGAACTCTGTTGGTCTACAGACTTTACGAATAGAGACTTCGAATTTCCAAGAAACCTATGCACGGGTTAAATAACCGGTTGCAAAAAGTCAAACGGAGAGACCTCTTTCCCTTTAAATCCGTAAGATTTGGACGAGTTGTTCCCTCTTCTGCTATTCGCCTTCCGGTGCCGCCAAGTACCTTGTGTCCATTCTTATTACGAAGACTTCCATTGGGTGCCAGAGTGCTCGTCTCCTAGCCTTGCGCCAGGATTGGTTGCTTGATAGCTAGTCCTGGCAGGTGATTGGTGATTGGTTGTCTGAGCTCGTCCGGCGATTGGATGCCGGGAATCGAAGGGGTGGGAGGCGGGAATTCGTCCGGGAGAGCGTTGTTGAGAGGACTGATGAGAACTGGAGGGGGAAGGCTGAGCGCCCCCGACCCTGCGATCCGGCCCGGGTAGTAGCAGCCCGCTGAGGAAGAGAGAGAGGCCTGTGACCCTCTTTGCCAGAGCTGCACTGTATTTGCTGGCGGATATCTGTTTTCTTTTCTCCCGTGATTCGGAGCCCAGTCCGCGGTGCTTCAGTTTTCTTCAGGACAGGCAAGTCTGTCTCCCCGGGGGAGAGCGCGAAGCCTGCGGGAAGAGTGCTTTCTGCTTTCGCCCAAACTCCCCGCTGGCCCCTCGGTGTGGACTGGATCACTAGGGACTCTGGGATCTCCACGGGCTGAGGGAGGAAGGAAGTGTGAGGACGAAAACCTGGGGAGAAGGGAACCTGTTCTCCGCCCCCGGGAGCGGAGGCCTGTTAACATCGCCGGGGGCCTCGCGCTAACTCTTGGCAGCTGTGGGCGACGGCGGGAGGCAGATAATCCTGATGTGTTTTTGTTTTTGTTTGCTTTATTCCATTGTATGGGGGAAGCTACCCCATTTTGAGATGCCTGTTGCCACAGCTGGGGCTGGGGTTGGATTGACTTCCAGGTTATATCCGAGTAACTAGGTCAGCGTTGGGTTGTTGGTTCCGATTAAAGGGTTGGATTCCACCAAATCTCATTCTCAGAGCTTCACAGAATCACAAAATACTAGAACTGGAAAATACGTTAGAATAGTGTTTCTTTTGGAACACACAGGCTATGGTTAAGGTTATTACTGGCTTTCTAATCAGTTGCATTGCTATTTCAACCATCCCTCCATCCCCAGATTGAGTTTACTATTTTTTTTCACTTTTGCAAAGTGATACCAGTGTATATCATTTACCCCCTCTTTTTTCAGTTATATCTTTAGTGTATATTTCTGGGAATGAGAAATCTAAGGACTCTTTTCAGAAAAATGCAGTCATGCACAGAAACTTCCACATGCAATAACAAGAGATCACAGTTGCTGAATTATATCTATGTATCTTAGGTTCAGAAAAGGTGGTTTAGAAGGGTGGGGGGATTAAAGTAGATCACTTCTGTTTTAGATACTGGAGTTTTGCGCACATTTCTGTACAGAGGGAGAAGCAGGCTCCCAGCTGAGCAAGGAGCCAGATATGGGGCTCCATCCCTGAGCCCTGGGATCATGGCCTGAGCTGAAGGCAGAATCTTAACCAACTGAGCCACCCAGGTGCCCCTCTACTTTATTGTTTTTTAAAGATTTTATTTATTAGAGAGAACTAGCGTGGGGAGAGACAGAGGGACAAGCTGACTCCCTGTTGAACGGGGAGCCCATGTGGGGCTTGATCCCAGGACCCTGAGATCTTGACCTATGGAGGAGTGAGAAGTTTTGTTTTTTTTTTTTTAAGATTTCATTTATTTATTTGACAGAGAAAGACACAGCGAGAGAGGGAACATAAGCAGGGGGAGAGGGAGAAGCAGGCTTCCCGCCGAGCAGGGAGCCCGATGCGGGGCTCGATCCCAGGACCCTGGGATCATGACCTGAGCGGAAGGCAGACGCCTAACGACTGAGCCACCCAGGCGCCCCCCCCCCCCCGATTTTTAAATAAGAATTATTGGGCACCTACTTAGTGCCAAGGCATTTTCTCCCTCATAACAGTTTTTAAGTTAGGGGTTATTACAGATAAGGATCTTAGTTTAGAGAAGTGAAGAGACATAATCAAGGTAACGTATATGAGTTGTTTTCAGAACCTGGTCTAGAGTTTATACTAACTCCTAGTCCACAGCTTTGGCACAGCAGGAATACAAATCCACATTTGTCAGATTCCAAGACATGCTGTCAACCACTGTGATTTGTAAGACTAGGAAATTCTTTTACTTTCCCATTTGTTTTGCTTAAACACTTGTTCCAATTTTTATTTCCAGACATCTGTCCTAGTGTTGGATATCTGGTTTTCTTTGGTATTGTTTCAATATTGATTTTCATTTCTGTTGCAGTTAGGAATCTGAAGTAAATAGTAAAGCATTATGTCTTCAGTTTGGTCTGAATATACAATTGGTGGGGTGAAGATTACCTTTCCTTATAAAGCTTACCCATCACAGCTTGCTATGATGAATTCTGTAAGTATTTTTCAATAGTTATTTTAAGTCTTTATTAAGATACAGGTGCTTATAATTCATGAGACTACATTCATTTTTCCAGATAGTAAATGGATTGAAAATATTTGCCGGGTTCATTGAAGAACATCTAAACTTGGAAAAATAATACTGATCACTGCTAAACTGTATCTGTCCATTGTTAAAATGGAGACAAAGGAGAACATTCTGAAAAATGTTCTCATCTCAGTTGGAACTTCTATTTACTTTGCAGAATTAGTGCTTTCTACAAAATATTTGCTATACATTACATAGAACAGTATATTTCTCACCATAATTTTTTTGAGATAGTTGTCATAGAAAATTAATATACAAACTTAAGTAAACCAACTTTGTTAAATCTGATTATTTTACCATATTTACTTTATATCTTGTTTGTGAGCAAGAGTATTTATTTCACATATTTTAAATGTTGCATAATGATATGATACTATACCTACCTGCAGAAGTTGACTTTTTTTTGCTTAACATTTTTAAGAGGCCTGTTGATTGTTAATCCATTTTACTTGCTGTATAGTATTCCATTATATGAACGTACCAGAATTTTTTTGTCCATTTTCTTTCGATAGACTTTTAAGTTGTTTACATTCTTTAGCAATTATAAACAATGCTGCTATGAACTTTCTTATACAGGTTTCCTTGTGTTCATGTGTGAAAAGTTTGGAGTATATACATAGGACTGGACTTGTTAGAGTTGGGGATCTTCAACTTTCCTAGGAATTATTAATTTCTGTACTGAGTGGTTTTTTTTTTTTTTTTAAAGATTTTATTTATTTATTTGAGACAGAGAGAATGACAGAGACAGAGAGCACATGAGAGGGGGGAGGGTCAGAGGGAGAAGCAGGCTCCCTGCCGAGCGGGGAGCCCGATGCGGGACTCGATCCAGGGACTCCAGGATCATGACCTGAGCCGAAGGCAGTTGCTCAACCAACTGAGCCACCCAGGCACCCCTGTACTGAGTGGTTTTAACAGTTTACACTCCAATGAGCAGTATCCTCCATTAAGTTTTCATCAAAGATATTGATGTGCTGTATTCTAGTTTTACAGAAATGATTAAGGCATAAATTACTTTTTTTCATTTCTTTTTTGCTTGATATGCTTTTAAGGCCATAATAATTTTAGGGAGAGGTATAAAGGAATAAAGTTTAGGTTTTCTCCCTTCTGCTATTGCTGTGCTCCTGGAAGTGCAACCTTACTTCTCATTGTATTTATACTTCTGATGGAGAGAGACCCTAATGAAGTAAATTGTTTATTGATATTTTTATTGTTTTTGTGTCCATAGATTGTCAGAGGATTAAATAGTAAGCAACATTGTTTGTTGGAGAGCCCAACAGGAAGTGGGAAAAGCTTAGCCTTACTTTGTTCTGCTTTAGCATGGCAACAGTCTCTTAGTGGTAAGTAGTTGGTTGATACCTTCAGGTTCCTTAGTGGGACCAGAAAAAAATATTTTAATAAAGTACTTTTTATCCAAAATGACTCAACCATGTTCTAGCTAGCTAATTTAAGTACAGATTCTCTTTTAAGGTATTTCTTTATAAGTTGTATATCTTCCTTTTTTATTTTATATTGTTTTATTTTATTTATTTATTTGAGAGAGAGCAAGTGAGCAAGGGAGCAGGGAGAAGAGCAGAGGGAGAGGGAGAAGCACAGGCTACCCGCTTGAACCAGGGAGCCTGATGTGGGGCTTGATCTCAGGACCCTGAGGTCATGACCTGAGCAGAAGGCAGATGCTTAACCAACTGAGTCATCCAGTTGCCCCAAGTTACAGAGCAAAATATGTTGTTAATTCTAAAACAGTTTTGAACACAATATAGTCTATTTGATGATTCAGAGTCTAATAAGAATCTTGGATGCTTAGTTATTATGAAAATGATTATGATATTTTGTATGTAAAAGATGTAAGAGATGGGCCTGTCATGGTGCTATAACATACACAAATAATTGCTTTGACTAAATCCTTTAATATATTTCCTTATCTGTCCCTTCTTTATAACATCAGACCATAGAATATATAAAGAAAATATTCTAATTGATTTTTCTACTTGTTTGGATGCCAGATAAGCAAAAGTTTATTATAATATTGTTTTCATAAATACATATTATTTTCTATTACTTTTACTTTATTTGCTAACAAAGGCCTAGTAACATTTACTTTTATGAAAGACTAGCTGATATACCTAATAAATCTGAAATACAGTATTGGATATATTTTAGTTACATAATTAGATGGATATGACCTAAAGCATTAGGAGAATTTAAAGTTAACCATGAGTGTATGTAGGTATGTACATATGTATTTTTATGTGTGTGTGTGTGTATATGTATGTTTTTTAAAAGGAAATGTGCTCCTGATAAGACTATTAAAGAATAAATATTTTATAACTTTTGTTGTTCATTTTGAGTGTTAATGATGTTACTCTTTGGGGAAAAGTGAGATAATCTGTTAATAACTTAAAATTTTAATGGGAGACTGAAAAATAGAATTAGTAGTATTTATGTAGTACAGATGGGAAAATAATATCAATACTGTTCATAGAAAATAGATTAATTATTCACCTTTTTTTAGTATCTGTGAACTGTGTATTTATACATGTAGGCCATTGCTTCTTGGCCTTTTGGCTAAGATCAAGGGTAGTATACATGTAGGCACACAATGTAGACCTCTGTAAGGTTATGTATTCTATTTAAGTATTAAAAATTACCTGTTTTATTTGAATATTGACCTTAAAATATCTTTTTTTTTTTTTTAAAGATTTTATTTATTTATTTGACAGAGAGAGAGACAGCGAGAGCAGGAACACAAGCAGGGGGAGTGGGAGAGGGAGAAGCAGGCTTCCCGCGGAGCAGGGAGCCTGATGTGGGGCTCGATCCCAGGACCCTGGGATCATGACCTGAGCCGAAGGCAGACGCTTAACGACTGAGCCACCCAGGCGCCCTTTAAAATATCTTTTGATACGTGTATCAGAATTGATACATCATGAAACATGTTTCTCTTTGAAATAGATACATAAAGTGGGAATGATTTAACCCTTATATATTTACATTATTTAATGTATTGAGCTTTGTTTCTTCAGGGAAATAGTAGTAATTAAGAATATACTTTAGGTCTTTATTTTAATCTTCCCTGCTTGATATTTTAATAAATCTCAATATAAGTGAATACCCAAGTGGTTAACGTTATTATTCTTTGACTATTACCAGATTTTTACAAATTATGTAAATTGATGATAACTTCTCTATAAGTGTTTCTGGTATAAGTGTTTCTCTCTTGTAATTTGATGCTGGAGATAGGGTGACCGACTTGCTTATATCTGCCAGGTACTTTTCCAGTTTAGCACTGAAAATCTTGTATCTTAGGAAACCTCCCAATCTCATGCAAACTGGGTGGTCGCTCACCGTAGTTGCAGAGGAAGATTAATGTTTTTTAAAGAGAAATATTACAACTTGGGTTCTTTCATTTTTTTTAGGGAAGCCAGTGGATGAAAGCTTAAATAAAAAAGCTGAAGTACCATCATCATGTTGTTGTGTATGCCATTCAAAGAATTTTACAAACATTGACTTGAACCAAGGAACTTCACATCATTTCAACGGTCCAAGTACACCACCTTCTGAAAGAAATGACACTTCATCAGCTTGTCAAGGTAGTTTATATTTTGCCTGGCTCTGTTGGTATCTGTAGTAGCCTTAATTATTGCTGTTGTGAGACTTAAATTTGTTTAGCATAATTGACTATTTATCTCCACCTAATTTCTCTGGAATTATTTTTAGATAACACATAGGTTAGTCAGATATCCTTGGACTGTTTTATTGGCTTGACTTCTAATTTATTCAGACATTTTGCTAGCTTAAATCATTTTTTGAAGAAGGCAATGCACAATAAATGATATTTAGAAATTGATCTTATTTGTAGACAGTATTGTTAATTATGTGTTAGAATTTTTGGGGTTCCTGAATGGCTTAGTCAGTTGGGCATCCAACTCTTGGTTTCCACTCAGGTGGTGATCTCGGGGTTGTGGGATTGAGCCCCTGGTTGGGCTCTGCACTAGGTGGGGGGACTGCTAGCTGGGGAGACTGCTTGGAATTCGCTCTTTCCTCTCCCTCTGCTCCTCCCTCCGTTTGCATGCACCCATGCCTCCCTCTCTCTTTCTCAAATAAATAAATAAAATCTTAAAAAAAATTACATGTTAGAATTTTAAAAAACACACTGATTTGTTTGTTTGTGTTTTTTAAAGATTTTATTTATTTATTTGACAGAGAGAGACACAGTGAGAGAGGGGGAAGCAGGCTTCCCGCTGAGCAGGGAGCCCGATGTGGGGCTCGATCCTAGGGACCCTGGGATCATGACCTGAGTGGAAGGCAGATGCTTAATGACTGAGCTACCCAGGCGCCCCTAAAAAAACACTGATTTGTAAGACAAAATGCAATTAGCCTCATTTATTCATCCTTAGGAGTTTGCCTGAACTTCTGAGGACAGTGTATCTTATATGAGGCTTTTTTTTTTTTTTTAACATACATTAGTTTTTTTAATTGAAGTATAGTTGGCATACTATAATACATACATTAGTTTCAGGTATACAACATAGTGATTCAACAAGTCTAGGTGTTATTCTGTGCTCACCACAAGTATGTCTACCATCTGTCACCTTATGCTATTACAGTGCCATTGACTGTATTCCCTATGCTGTACCTTTTATCCCTGTGACTTATTTATTCTGTAACTGGAAGCATGTATCTTCCATTTCTTTCTGGCAACCATCACTTTGTTCTCTGTATTTATGGGTCTATTTCTGCTTTTTGTTTGTTTATTCATTTGTTTTTTAGATTCCCCACATAAGTGAAATCATATTGTATTTGTCTTTCTCTGACTTACTTCACTTAGCATAATACCCTCTAGGTCCATCCATGTTGTCACAAATGCCAATATTTCATCCTTTTTTATGGCTGAGTAGAGAATCAGGTATGTTTTAAATATGATCCTGAAACAGTTCTTACTAGATTTTTTAAAGAGAAGTATACTAAGAATATCACAAGATTATTAATTTTTAAAAATATTTCTTTGGCTTTGAGTATATGGAAAGGATTAATAACCATTATTTACCTAAGTCAAAAACTGAGGAGACATCCTATACACTTTGTTCTTCCTTATTTCTCCTCTATCTCTGTTGATACCTCCTTAGTTCTCTATCTCCATTGATACCTCCTTAGTCCAAAGTGCCATCTCTTGGTTAGAGCATGTAATAACTTCTTTTCCTGCTTTTACTCATGCCATCCTTTAATCACCTGGCAGGAAGCAAAGAGGTTGCTATGATTGACTTAAGTCTAAAGAGTATCCACGTCTTTTTTTTTTAGATTTTATTTATTTATTTGGTGGAGGGAGAGAGACAGAGGGAAGAGCGGAGGAAGAGGGAGAAAATCTCAAGCAGACTCCTGATGAGCACGGAGTCCTATGTGGGGCTCCATCTCATGACCTTGAGATCACGACCTGAGACGAAATCAAGAGTCAGGCACTTAACCAACTGAACCACCCTGGTGCCCCTAAATAGTATCCACTTCTAAAACGAAGGATGGAGTTATCTTCTTCTAAAACACATGACCATGTGTGGAGGAGGGTAGCTGCTTGAACTAAAGTATGATTCTGTTAGGAATGAGGAAGAGGTGGTTGAATACATGCTGAAGAGGTGACCAATAGTGTTGTCTATACTGTTTTGACCCTTAGCCCTTTTGGCTTTCTTTCCGTTCCTTAAGAGGATCATGCTTTCGCCTGCCTCAGAGCCTTTGTTTATGTTAGTGTTTCTTCTGAGGAAAGTCCCATCTTCCATTTGTTATCCTGCATTTCCTTTAGGTCTCAGCTTAAATGTCATTTCCTTGAAGGAGCCATACTGACCTTTCTGTCAGACTAGATTTGGTTTCCCTATTATATTCTGTCCTCTCACTGGGCCTCTCCTTCATAGCACTTGTCACAGTTTGCATTATCCATATGCCTGTGTACATCATTTATCAAGCTCTGCTTCCTGTAGCAGACTATATACTCCTTGAGGTCCGGGACCATGTCAGTTTGCTTATCATTGTATTTTTATTTTTATTTTTATTTTATTTTATTTATTTTTTTAAAGATTTTATTTATTCATTTGAGACACAGATAGAGAGAGAGAGAGCATGAGGAGGGAGAGAGGCAGAGGCAGAGGGAGAAGCAGGCTCCCTGCTGAGCTAGGAGCCCGATGTGGGGCTCGATCCCAGGACCCTGGGATCATGACCTGAGCCGAACGCAGACGCTTAACCATCTGGGCCACCCAGGCGCCCCTTATCATTGTATTTTTAGTACTTAGCAGAGTGCCTGGCATATGGTAGGTGCTAGATAAATATTTGTTGTATGAATGAATGGAATTGACTTTGAGATAATTAAAGGAGTTCTGATTTATGTTTATATGCAACCTGTTTTTTTTTAAGATTTTATTTATTTATTTGAAAGAGAGAGAGAGCACAAGCAGGGGGAGCAGCAGAGGAAGAGGGAGAAGCAGGCTCACCACCAAACAGGGACCCCAACTGGGGGCCTGATCCCAGGACCCTGGGATCATGACCTGAGCCAAAGGCAGACGCTTAACTGACTAAGCCACCCAGGTGCCCCTACAACCTGTATTTTTTTTTATTTTATTATTTTATTTTTTTAAAGATTTTATTTATTTGTTTGAGAGAGAGAATGAGATAGAGCATGAGAGGGGGGAGGGTCAGAGGGAGAAGCAGACTCCCCGCTGAGCAGGGAGCCCGATGCGGAACTCGATCCCAGGACTCCAGGATCATGACCTGAGCCGAAGGCAGTTGCTTAACCAACTGAGCCACTCAGGCGCCCCCTGTATTTTTTTTTAAAACAGCCTTATTGAAATATACTTGACGTAACTATATATATAAATGGTACACTTTGATAAGTTTTGACATAGGTGTACCTCCATTAAAGCATCAGGATAGTGAACATGTCCATCACTTTCAAAAGTTTTCTCTTGCCCCTTTGTTATCTCCCTCCTTCCCAAGCCTCCGTGACTCACTCTTTCCAAACAACCACTGATTTGCTTGTAGATTAGTTTGCATTTTTTTTAGAGTTTATTTACATGGAATTGTAGTTTGTACACATATTTGTCTAGCTTCTTTCACTTAACATAATTCTTTTGTTGTGTTTGTTGTGAAACATAATTCTTCTGAAATTTATCCATGTTGTTGCATGTATCGACAGTTTGCAGTTTGTTAATTTTTATTGTTGAGTAATATTCTATCGTATGGATATACTACAAATTGTTTATCCAGTCACCTACTGATGTATATTTGAATTGTTTCTAGTTTTAAGCTATTACATATAAAGCTACTGTGAATATCTCTGTATAAGTCTTTGTGATGGACATGTGCTTTCATTTTTTTAGAGTAAATACTAGAAATAACTGGATCACTTAGTTTAACTTTGTAAGAAACTTCCAAACTGTTTCCCAAAGTGGTTTTACCATTTTACATTCCCACCAACAGTGGTTGGGAGTTCCCATTTCTTTACATCCTTGTCAATGCTTTGTATGATCAGTCTTTTTTACCATTCTGCTAGGTATGTAGTGATATCTCATTGTGGTTTTAATATGCATTTCCCTAGTCACTTATGACAGTTGAGCATCTTTTCATGTGCTTATTAGCCATCTGTATCTTTGATGAAATGTCTGTTCAAATCTTCTGCTTGTTTTTTGTTTTTTTCTTATTGTTAAGTTTTGAGAGTTCTTTATATATTTTGAGTACAAATTTTTTTTTTTTTTTTTTTTTGACAGAGAGAGACATAGCGAGAGCAGGAACACAAGCAGGGGGAGTGGGAGAGGGAGAAGCAGGCTTCCCGCAGAGCAGGGAGCCCGATGTGGGATTCGATCCCAGGACCCTGGGACCATGACCCGAGCCGAAGGCAGACGATTAACGACTGAGCCACCCAGGCGCCCTACAAATTTTTTTTATCAAATATGATTTTAGCTTTTACTTTTAGCTTGAGATCTATTTCTAGTTAATTTTGTAGATCGTGTGAGGTATAGATCCAAGTTCATTTATTTTGCATATGGATATTTAATTGTTTGGCACCATTTATTGAAAAAGCTATTTTATTCACTGCTTTGCCTTTGTGCCTTTGTAAAAAATCAGTTGTCAATATATATGCAGCCTGCATTTTAATGTGACTGTGAGTTAAAGTTGTTTAGAACAGTCTCTTGAAGAATCAGATGGAATCAGGGTTATATTTTGGTACTCTGTATTTTTAAGTAAGTTCTTTAATACGATATAACCTAATCACAGAAAAGTTCAGGGATTGTAAGTGTATAAGCTTGATGAATTTTCACAAAGTAAACAGTCATGTAACTACCACCTAGATAAAAAACATGGGACATAACCTCTACCGTAGAGGCCCTCCCTAATTGCTATCCTCCCTTCTGTCACCATTGATGATTTTTACCTCCAAAGAAATGGAATTACATGTGTACTCTTGCACATTGTGTTGCCTGTCTGCTTTTGCTTAACATTGTATTTTTGAGATTCATTGGTGGTGTTGCATATAGTACTAGGTTTTGTATATTATTTCTACCATTTATTAATCTGCTCTACAGCTGTTAGGCATTTGAGTGGTTTTTATTTT